GTAACAGTTACTCTAGTAGGCTCCTTAAACATGTGCGCAAGATTATAGGACATAAATAGATTTACAAGTCTTGTACATGAATTGGAGTTTCCTAATAAATCAACGTTAAAATCACCTCCAATCACTAATCGTTTGCCTTTGCTATATACCTTTTTTAATGCTTCATCCATAACTGTTTCAAAAAGATCATAATGAGAAACTAAACTTGAAGGAGGTCTATATACGCTCAGTACAATCAGCTGGTCCAGCTCTATACAGGCAATATCTATTATTTCCTCAACCGATAGGCTCACTATCTCTACGTTCTTTAAATTTAAAATTTTTATTTTATAAATTAGTGCGACACCACGCTTTGCGTTTTTCCTAATGAATGCGCTACCAACCAGGTGATTATTGAAATTAAAAATGCAATTATAACTTGTTAACCAATGTTCCGTAATACAGAAAATATCAATATTGTTACAGTTCATGAATAATTCTACTTCTAACTCTTTACTCAACATTCCTTGAACATTTTGGTGCATATACATTCGTCGCCCGATGTCTCGCATCGAAATGTATCCGAACTCTCCGATATGTAATCGAAGTAGGCAGTCATGGGAAAATGCCTGAGCGTTTTAAACGAATTGTTTTTTTTCCCGATAAGCGCCCATAAATTCCAAAACCCTGGGCATTTTTTTTAACAAAATTTATTTGAAAATTAAACGAAAGATCAACTAATTGACTCAGTTGTGTTTTTTTTGTTAAAGATAAGTAAATATACATTACGAGTACAAGTTTCAAAATAAACATAATAATAAAAATAAATCAATCTATTTATACAAATGAAATAACTTTTTATTCAATATCACCTAGCATTAACTTTTAAAGTTTTATCCATGGTCTTTATTCAGGACGGTTATTTGTGAACGAAACTTCGAAAAATGTACGAAATTTAAATTCCTAGGCGGTGGAAAAAGGGCTGAAAGTTAGTATGAAAGAATAGTAGCCTATTACGACTACTTCTTCCAACCAGGGTAGAAACATCTATTATTACGATATCGGCGGACGTCTGCAGCCATTTGGAGGCCCTCGGTCCGCCACTGTCCGGGATCAGTAATATTGATGTCTCTTTTTTTTTGTGTCGCAACCTATCAATGGCGTGATCGAATCTTTAAAATTGCAAGCAGTTGCATCTGTCTGTGAATTATAAATTCTGTCACGTGCATTTCTCTGTCGGTAATATAAAAGAAATACGATCCAGATGATCGAATCTTTTTTAACTCGATCGGCCTTACGAGTGGAACATTCATGTCCGACCTGGGTTACGATAAACGATCAATCGACACAATAAGCTCTAGAACGGCTACCTGTTCTTTTTTTCTCAGTGTCACTGTCCCTTTCTCCAGACCCGATATACGCCTAGTCATAGTCATAATAATTGGTACATAACAGGCAGTTTCAACAGTGTTACCGCGATAAATTGACGCATAACGCCATCTAGTAAATAATGGGTAGACGAGCCCCGCCGCTGCGTTTCGTAACAATGATAATTCAATTATTTTTTTTACCCACTCACTAATAGAAAAAATGTGGCAATATTTTTTCACAAAGTGACATTAGGAAATGTAATACTGCCGTCCCATCGGTACCTGAGTGTGATGGCGTGGGGCAGCCTGGCGTCCAGCGTCCAGGCGAGCAGCGCGGCCAGCTGCGCCGCCAGCCAGAGCGCGGCCTGCGCGCGGTGCACGGGGTTGCCCGCGCCACAAGGTTCACTGCCTGCTTCCTTATTTTGGCCTACATAAAACTTATTAATGATGCCAAAAATATATAGTCCATACGAATTTTGAAAAAAAAACACTCTAAATAGTTCTCATCCAATTAGACACATAAATCTTATGAAATAGATTTCATACCATAATTGACGTTTATAGAAAATTTGTGCTTTTAAAAGGACAGATGTATGACTTATGCGAGATTCCAAAATCATGCCTCACCAAGTTGTATAAAAAGTTAAGCAATAAAATTCTAGGCAAGCACGCACCATCTTAGACCACTGCATTGCTTACCATCAGGTGATCTGTGGTCAAGTGCTTGTCTATCAAGAATGAATAAAAAAAAATATTTATCAAAGAAAATTTCATAAATTATGCAGAGTTAACATAAAGAATCTTAAAGTCTCTTAAAAGTAAAAAGCTGTAATATATTGTTTTGTTAACATTGTCCTGCAATTATTTGGTATTTATCTATACTATAATAAAAACGTAACCGATCGATGTCTGTACATTGAAGATATATGAAAAGAACTGTTATGAGGGACATTTATAAGAGTAATAGAACACAAAACAATGATTATTAAATTTTTTGTCTGTTTGTCTGTTTGTCGGTTTGTCTGTTTGTCTGTGCGTTTGTGCACGATAATCTCAGAAACGGCTGAACCTATTTAAATACAGTTTTCACAATTATGTTGCGGCATTCTTCCGTTAACATTTAGTGTAAGATTTATTTCAATCGGTTAACAAATAAAAAAGTTATGTCAATTTGAAGTGACGTGGGCGCCAAAATAGCTATGAAATATTTACTGTTTTATTAAATTTTCGTCTTTGATATATTGATCATCATCATCAACTCTTTCACAGCCAAACAGCAGGGCCTCAGGCCTTTGTTTAATAATTTTTGGTCACCCATCCCATACACAACTCTTGCGAAAATTGCTTAGCAATAGCGATCGTGCGCAGCGGCGCATATCCGTAGCGCCATCGAGCTACGAATTAATATTGTCTAAAAAATGAAAATTTGTATGAAAACAAATAAAAAAATAAGATTCCAAACTTTTGACTACTCGAAGTATGTTGACCTCATTTCTATATGGCCAATCATATTAAATAGGGTTCAGCTTATAATAGACGTGTGGTATACGATCACGCGAGTAGGAGAACAAGCGGAAAGAGCCTTCCGATGATGCAATTAAGCCTCGAGTAGTTTTCAGTGAACGCATATTTTTATCAGATTAGGTTCACGTCGTCGTCGGGGCCAGCGGAGGTGGTTGGCAGCCGCCCCCGGATTGCACGGTTTCGTCTGTCTGGGAAAGGCACTCGATTTACCCAAGCCTCTCCAATTTCATCTGCAATGGGACCAATGGTCCAATACTTGAGTGTCCTGGTCGCTCGGCCATAGCTTGCCGGGTTTCGTCTCCCATGAGAGGATGTAGCGTACGGGTTTTGGTGGGTAGGCCTCTGGGGACCTACTGGGCAGCTCACTGTCGGATTCACGGAGGAGAATCCTACTCACCCCTGTTGCTTGCCAGGTAACAGAGACAATGTCAGAAGTTTTTCCACGACGTTAAAAAAGTTAGATTCAACTGAAGTTAAGAACGTAAAGACAACTCGAGTTATATATTTTTTTTCTCTTATTACTATTTTTTATGTTAATACTCTTTTTTTTTAACATACAAATTGCTATAGAGACGTACTTCAAAGTTGGTATTTTCAGTCTTCGCTGGAAACAATGCTTTATTCATAGGTCACAACACTCATATAATATTACGCGAGTCCGTGGGTCGATTCAGAGTAGCTCGGTGGCGTAGTGAATAAGCGCCATGGCCCGCGATTGTAGTTGCTAAGCAACTTTCGCAAAGGTCTTTAACAGGATGGGTGACCAAAAAATATTATCTCAAGCAACTCCAAGCTTTGGAAGGCACGTAAAGTGATTGGTCCCGTTTGAATTTGCAGTCGTTAATATCCTCCAATTCGCATTGGGCCAACATGGAGGGTCATGGCCCATCCTCTTTAATCCATAAGGCTCCTGCAGTTGGTGACGTAAAAGAGCTGATGATGATGAAGAGGGCCGTTTAAATCTGACGGAAGCTCAGTTAAGCACCTCTCGGAAGTATATTTTTATTAACAAAGAAAGAGATCGGACTGAAAGCGCTCGGTCTCGGGAGATACCTGAAAAACGTGAAACGTATTTAACTGCCTAACGCCAGGCTCATGCACTATAAAGTTGAATCTGAAGCATTTACTGTCAGGGACAATCTCTTGAGCTCTCGGAGAACTCATACAATAAGCGTTTGATCTCAGAAAACTTCTGAAGATCGCATAGCGTGTCTAACTGCTGATCGTAATATACATGCAGTATGGTATGAGTATGAAACTTCCTTTCATAGAGAAATGCGCTTGGTCTCTGAAAGAGCTCGCAGTTTGTACAATAGAGATCGAGAAAGTAGTTTCGATTATCGCCAACCCGTGTTGCATTCATACTCCACAGGCGTACCGCAGATAAGTTTTCACAAGGTGTAATGAACTAGCTGTCTTCCCGCGATTTTGCCGCAAAATTATAGCCTATGACATCCGTGATGTAACTTCCCGTCGACAGGATCGCTCTAAAACTATCGGTCCAGTAGTTTTTGGGCAAATGTTTGTTATTATTAGTATATCTTAGGTATAAGAGGTCCGATGACGTTAGTGGGTTGGCGCATTCGATTTAAATTGCAGTGAAATAAATAAGTAAAATACTGCACAAAAAGGACATACATGAATCCTTATTTTACGTTACTTAGTACAAACGATAAACTCATCGCTAGCAAGCGATTTCTTCCAGGCAACCTAGCATTGCATGGAAAAAAGAACAATAAATAGCTGATTGTGCATACAACTAGACTAATAATAATCATTTAAAAAGATCAAAAACAAAAGAAGGACAGTTTCAAGGTATGAATAAAATTCTCAGACACAAACGACAACCAGAGCGCGAGAACAAGAAAAAAGATAGAAAATTACATTCGTAAGGACAGGATGGGTGACCAAAACATTATTATCCTGAGCACTGTGCACAACACTGGCACAATGTACGTTAAGCCGTTAGTCCTGGCTGAATCAGTAACGTTAACACCCACCGATCCGCATTAAGCCCGCATAGTGGGTTATGGCCCATTGATCTTATTTGATTCGACTCCATCCATAGGAATAAAAGAATTCTACCAAAATACTTCCCACGCAGACGAAGTTGCGGGCACAGCTAGTATTTTAATATAAACAATTTAAACATTCCTAACAACTTATTATCTTACGCAACCTAACATGTCTTATATCTCCAGTAAAGTTGATTTTTTGAGATAGTAGCTGTTGATTCTTAACCGTTGATATGTCAGTATAATATTTTTATATAATTGTACAGACGCACTGTATGTAAGAAAAATGCGCTCTAAAGCAAGATCTCTACTGTTTGCCTATAAATTGTTATAAAAATATCTTTCCCTTTCTTTTTGCAATTAGCCTCTAGGCTTTATTCAGAAGCTCTAACTTCTATCAATGTCATTCAAAAAAATATATGATACTAAAAAAAATCTCATTATAATGCCAGACTCACCCCAACTCTGCAAGTTACTAAAATCTCCATCTGTGCTTATCCATGAATTGACAATGTGAAGCTGTGGCCTCTTAGGTGGCTCCTCATCATCATCTCCCACAAATTCCATGTCTTCTATACTTTCACTAAAAATATATAATATTGCATACTATAAAAGAGGGTTACTCAATGTCACAATCCTAAAGTTTAATATACATATACGAGGGTGGATTGAAAAGTTCGCGGCCTCAGCAAGAAAACTATAAAAAATATATGCAAAAGTAATTTTATTTTTCCACGTAATCTCCATTTAACTCTATGCATTTCTTCCATCTGGTTTCCAACGCCAGTATGCCGGTCATAAAAAAAGTTTCTTCAAGGCCTTCAAAAAAGTCACCCACCGCAGCTTCGAACTCCTCATTAGAACTCCTCGAAAATTATTGACTTCCAAGGTGTTTTTTTAGGTTTGGGAATAAATGAAAGTCTGAAGGTGCCAAATCAGGGGAATAGGCGGGATGGGGCAGTAATTCAAAGCCACAATCACGAATTTGAGCCATAGATTCAACAGACGTGTGAACGCGTGCATTATATTGATGAAACAACACTTTCTTGCTGAGTAATACCGGCCTTTTCTCTTTGATTGTTTAGCGCAAGCGACGTAAGAGGGTGCAGTAATAAGCCGAGTTTATAGTTTCACCTTTTGCAAGGTAGTCCACCATGATGACACCCTTAGCATCCCATAAAACTGACGCCATCACCTTGCCAGCTGACAAAATTGTTTTGGCTTTTTTTGGAGTCACTTTGGGGTGTAGTGGTGTACCCAAGTTTCATCCATTGTTACAAATCTGGATAAAAAATCTTGTGGCCTTGCCTCAAACATTTCCAAAATGTCGCTAGAAATCGTGAGGCATATTCGTTTTTGTTCGACTGAAAGCAATCTGGGTACCCACTGCGCAGAAACCTTAGAAAATCTAAGTTCATTGACTACGATGTTTTGTGTTCGTTCATACGAGATGCCAATAGTGTATGCAATCTCCCTGATGGTCAATCTCCGATCTGTTGATATCAGATCACAGATTTTCCCGATGTTTTTTTCAGTCATAGACGACATAGGCTGGCCAGAGCGAGGGTCATCTTTAATACTCTCTCGTCGGCCTTTAAATTCGGCAACCCACTTTTTCACAGTCGTATATGACGGCGCAGATTCCCCCAATGTTGTTGACATATCTTCGTGAATCTCTTTTGGAGTTATTTTTTTTTAAACAGGTATTGATGACCTCACGTTGCTCAATTTTCTCCATTCTTTAGAAATGCTGCACAGAGGGTCACAAAATTCAGTCTAATTTAAATACAGTTAATGCTATTGCCATAAATTTTACAATTTGGCAACCAGAGAGTAAACTTATCGAATGAGATCAGTTACATTAAAATAGTTTAAGTATTTATGTTTTAGGCCGCGAACTTTTCAATCCACCCTAGTATAACAAACCATTTGCCAATAGAAACTTAAGACATTATAATACATTTTAATTGTTTCTTATGACTTTGATACCTGCATATTATGTAGTATCCCATATGTAAAAGAATTTTTAAAATCACTAGTAGTTTTCTAAGAATTAATTTTATATTTGTAACAATAAACAAATAATAACTTCATCTCGTGAATTTTTGAATAGATTACCTTGTGTCATAGCTAATGTAAACCGGAAATATATATTTAGTGAGCTGCCTTATTCTAGACCTTCTTAATGCTGCCAATAAGTCTGCCTGTTGGCTGTATGCACTTATCTTATTCTGTAATTCTAACCGTTGATCTTGGGCATGCTTCCCTAGAAGAGACACTCGTTTCTGGTATCTTGGTAGTTTTGAATTTAAGTCATGGTTGTGCTGTTTCAAATTTACAAGTTCCTTTTTTTTCTCCTCTATATTGTTTCGTCTTTGTTCTATTGCCAATCGCAGCAAGTCTAGTTTATCCCGTGACTGTTTCGTTTCAGTTACTAGTCTATCCTTTTTTATTTTATGAGACAATAACTTTTCACATCTCTCTAACACATGTTTTCTATTTACTTTTAATCTAAGTAACTTTGCTTGTTTCTCTGAATATCTGCAAAAGTTTAATTAGATTTATGAGGGGTTATTAAACCAATGAAATAACACACAAAAATATTACAACACTTGTGTATGAAATTAGACTGAAAATAAAACATCTAATTTTAATCATTAATTTTTGAAAGTCTGTATCTATGATAATCAAATTTTAAATTTAGTAGTAGTATTATTTAAACGTTTGGGCGAAATGTTTTACTAAAACTATTCGTGCATTTGTTAAGCTACAAACAAATGCACATCTAGTTTCAGTCAAAATTGTTAAAGTCTACCTCTATTTTTTGTATAATTCTATATCAAATTGTTTTATTATTGAAAGAACACAATGAAATAATGAAAATATGGTGTATTGTGTGAAAGTAGGCAAACCATCATATGTTCCATTTGTACACTTAGATAATTTAAGATATCATAAATTTCTCTAGGCCACGGTATCAAAAGCCTTGCATCTCTCACATAAATATTACCTGTAATCATTAAACATACAAACCTCTCTGAATAGGGCATTGAGGAATGAACGAAGTTTCCAGTTTTGATACAATCTGGGCAATAGAAGTTCCGCTTTACCGTGTAACACAACAAGCATTTCGTATAGTGTGCATCACTCTCCGTAGATGATACTCGAAAATCTCGAGGCGCTTCGCTTTCTGATATATAACTTAACGCCATGATATTTAATATTTACGTATCGCTTGTGAAATATTGCGAGAACACAATAACCATCAACATTTATGACATAAATACGACTTGTTCTGTCGTGTACTGTCACTGTCATTGTCATTGTCAGCTGGTGACAGGGTTGCCTGATATGTTAAAATATTTCTCCCGATTAATTAGAAAAAATATTTCCTTTAAATGGGTCGTTCATTCTACAAAAAAAACTCAACTTCGGTATGATATTTATATAAAGCATGAAATTATATTAGTATATTGTAGACTGGTGATGGAATGATTTGAAAGACACCAAAAACAAATCAGACCAGTAGCCGGTTGTACTACACATGTGTTACACGATTAGTGCTGCACCATTATAGTCCAAAATATGGATACGTATACATGACGGCTGTTAGTGCTAATGATACTCTGTAATTGTATCTATTCGTTCTGATGTGCCTTTAATTTTATGACTATTATTGTTTTCTGTTTTTTTTATATCTACTCGGTTCTCAATATCCTGCAGGTGTATAATAGTTTCTGTACTAAACATCATCTAATGGTTAGGTTTACTTTATTTACTTGCTATAGGTAAATGTTGTAACAATCTGTAATTAAAGCAGCACTATTGTAAGTTACTGATGTAAGCTTTACTGTAACACGATTGCGGTGTATGTTTTGTTGGTTGTTTTTAAATCAATAAATAAAATAAAAATAAATAAAAGCGAAAACATTGGTTTCTTTCGTGAGACGACCTCTACTCGTTTGTCAAATGACAAACAACTGACTTTCCATATCTATTGGACAAAATAATAAAAACGTTTTTTGGAACCTCGATTACAACAAGGAACTTTAGGCGAGAAGAATGCCAACTGCAAACAAAAAGTTTTTTTTTAAGTACGATATTAAATTTTCAGGTTTTTGTCAGAATTATCGAGGCACTTCCCTCTCTCTTAAAAGAATAAAACATTGCTGACCCTTCTCCCTATAAATCATAGGAAGCGGACCGGCTATACCTATGTAAGATAGATAGATACATTTTTTATTTGTATTATGCACACATAAAATTGTACAATTTAAATTTTACAAAATATTCCACAAATGATTGAGAAAGAGAAATAATTAATAGAACAAGATGTAACTAAAATAAGACAATCAAACAGTATGTGTACCGCAGCGATACAAATGGGCGAAAACTCAGTGAGTATTTACTCAAATAGCAAAGCACTGATTTTTAGTTATTAACCTAATTACTAGTGGTTGCTCTGTAAATATAAAAATTTGAAGAATTTATAAGAAATTGATAATAGCACTACAAAACTAACTAGACACTACAATAATTATAATAAATACTTACAAACTAAAATAAGTAAAAAATGAGTAACTTATATAGATTAATAAAATAAAGTAAATAGATAGTAATAATATTAATTCGGTGCATTTAGTCAGGATCATTCAGAGTCACAGAGTACCTGTTAATATTATTATTACTACCACCACCATCACCATCAAGCGACTAATTGCCGGGAACTTGATTTTATAGCAACTTAGATCTCAAATGTATTTTAAAAGTTCATCTACATGTAATACATCTTAGAGGCAGAGGCATATTATTCCAGCATTTAGTCGCCCGATAACGGAAACTACCAGTGAAGCTCACAGTCTTGTGATGATGCATCATCAAGGGAGCCCGTATATATCGCTGGACACCGGAACCGTAGTGATGATGGAAAGTGGATTGCTTTAGTTTTGAATATGGATACTCCGGGTTTTTTGACTACATTAAATCGAACATAAGCATGGCAAGATGCAAAGGCCTACGTGACTCCATATTCAACATATGCGCCTTGATTAGAAAAGGTTAAACATGAGTTCGTGGAGGTATGTGAAAACAGAAGCGAGCACATGCATTCTGAATAAGTTGTATAATTTTCCGGGTTCTATATAATAACTGTGGCCCATACACTAGATCACCGTAGTTCAGTTTGGATAAAGTAAGTGATTCACAGATTATGATTCGTGATTTTTCCGAGAGAAAATGTCGTATCCTATACAGAACCCTTAAACGATAGAAACAGTTTCTAACGAGATCCAAAACATGACTTTCAAAGCGCAACTGACTGTCAAAAACAATTCCCAGGTTCCTAGTTTCATTGACTGATTCAATATTTTTACCCAATATCATAACAACAGGAGGATCGGATAGTATCTTATTTATCTGTTTTTTGGTGCCTAAAATCATAAAGTCGACTAAGAAGGATTTAATACGAGACAATTATTATTGAACAAACTGCTATACATATTATTCAAGTCTTCATTTAATTTGGAAACGGCTTCCATCATCCGAGCTGGATTCTCGGCTATATATAACTGCACATCATCAGCGTAGCAATGATGTTTACAATTTTTAATTGACTAGGATAGATCAGCAGTGTATATTGTAAACAACAGAGGCCCAAGGATGGAACCCTGAGAAGCGTATATGCCTAAACTTGAAATGCAAATTCTCCGATGGCGGACTATCCGATGACAGATAGAGCTAGACCCATGATATCGATATAAGTATCGATATTGAAGTTGTATTAAATAAATGTTACCATTTTGTCAAACTGCTACAAAACGACTTCTTATTAAACAATGTAATATAATATCCTTTGTTAGGGATATGACATAACTATTACCTATTACACTTCTATTAATTTCACACTTACGTACCAATCAAATATTTGTGAATTAATAGAGTCGTGTTTATTATTTTCTTAAAAGTGGCATGATTTTATCAATAACATATTCAAAAATATGTAATCTGTTTTTCATATTCTGTTGGACATATGAAACTAATGATTTTTGCGATTTCGCGCGCGTTGGTATGATAATTATATCCTATGTTACCAGCGTATGTAGTAGCTTCCCACAGGTAAATGTTTCAATTGTGTTTATTATAAATATTGTTTGTTTCCCAAGTATAATAAAATAAAATAAAAGTTTCCCACTTTAAAATCAGTCCAATGGTTTCAAAGTCTACTCGAGGCACACAAACGTCCCCTCTTTCCTCTTTATAATATGAATCTAGACTAGTTTTCCGACACCAGCTTAAAAGTAGCTTAAATGTTTAATTTAGGCTTACAATTATTCGTATTCCAAATTTCATCTAAATCCGTTCAGAAACTTTGGCTTGAGAGTAACCAGCCATCCTCACAAAATTTCACATTAATATTATATAAATAAAATTTTATTTTGTAATATGGTTACGACTAGAGATCTATTTCGTTTTTTCTTTATATAGACACTTTTACATAGTTTTAAGAACTATCGATACCTAAATATATACTTATATCTTGAAAGTTTTTTTTCTAGATTTACCATAATATCAATCGTTTTTTATAATTAACTCCATAAATTGTAAAATTGACATTTTGCAATCATAATGAGGAAGTATTTAAAAAAACATTAGTTCCCGAAATCAAACTAGATGTCGCTCGATGTCGATGATAAAGTACCATCGACATCGATTGATGACTCCATGACAACCCTTCCGGTTTTCTTTCATGTATAGAAAGTATATTAATTTTCAAAACTCAATAAAAACTCATATTCTATTTGTACTTTTTCGTAATATTTTCTAAATCGTTTGAAGGATATTTTAATCCACCCCGAGATTTCATAGCAATCAAGGTCGATTTGTGTGTATTTGGATCGGCAAAAAATAGCGTTGATATTAGATTGGCTATGCATCATCGTGCAATATTACTATATTAAAAATCAATTAAAATTACTTTCCGTAAAAAGTAGTTTTTGCATCATAGGTACCTAATATTTTCTGTTTCAATTTGATATTTTCAATAATAAAATTTTCGATATACAGCAACTATTAAACTACTAATAAAATGCAAAAACAAAACACTAGTGAGAATACGTACCTGCTAATTTAAAAATGGCGGACAGGTGGTACCATGGTGGTACGGACGCAATATGTCATGATGTCAATGTGCACTGTCAAACTAGTGCCACTTTTGTTTACTAAAGAAAAACTCTGTAGTTGAAAGGAGACAACATGATGTTATAGATGTCAACTTCCAGTCGCATGATGTTTGTATAAACCAAAGTTACTATAGGTCAATATTTCCACTCTTCTATTCTCTATGGTTTATACCAAGAAGTTTATAGAACACTGGGGCTTATACTTATAACTTTCGAGTAAAAAAATATCAATTAGAATGTATCAAAGACCAGCTACTTTCCCGCGACTTCCCTCCCCCGCTTAAATTATTATGTTGTAACCTTTATGTGATATAAGTTATTTCCCGTAGGTGGAAGAGTATTTAAAATCGGTCCCATAGTTTCGGAGCGTATTCAATGCACACAAACAACAATATAATCTTTCTTATTTATAATACTAGTACGGAAAAAGCTTTATAAAAAGTCACTAGAATTTAATTTGTTTTGCTTTAGATAAGATCTAAAAGTACTCCTCTACACTCGCAATAAAATCGTGTTATCTAAATTTTAATGGCATTGGCAAGGAAAAGAGTGCAGTACAGCGAGTGGCTTCCTTGGGAATTGAATACGCGCCAAGCCTTGTTTTTAAACTATTCCCTGACTTTTACTTAATATCTATTTTCAAAGCATTTTCACGCAAGGGAAACTGTAATCAAATGGTCCGATGAGATTGTTTTTAAAATTAATGTAACGATGGGGCATTCTTATGTAGCACCAGCCTAAGAGCATAATTACACTGGTCGATAAGTCTATAACATTAACGCAAAAAAAGTGTTTTGTAAGGTAACTTATACAATTTTACATTATGTTTTGCAATACTACAGACAAAAAAACTTAAAAATCAATAAAAGTCGGGTAAAGATTTTCTGTAGATTATTGATTAAATGATAGGCGCCCAACTTCAATAGCATTTTCTTAAATAAGTCGTTTATGAGATAAGTATTGTTTTTCGCTTTATTAAAGTTTGCAGTTAGTTCTATTTCTTAGAGTTTTTATTTCATGCTTTTAGTGATATTGATATTTGTTATATAATAGGTAACACTTAAAAATATTTTTCTGAAAACCGCTTCAAAATGGGTTCA